TAAAGCAGCTTCCCTGAGCAGGAATTTCTGCATTACAGAGCTCAGCAGCCTCTTCTGACCTTGTCCCTTCCCATTTCAAGATCTGTTACTCTTCCAGGGGTGCTGAGAGTCCCAGGTGAGCTCAGCTTGGCCATTCCAGTGTTGGGCAGTTTATTCTGGGGCCTTCTCTTCCCTTTTTGGCCTTTGTACAAGGTGCTGGTAAAAAGGGGATGTAGTGGGATTTCAAGCGTTTCCACACATGCAATGAGTTCTGCTTTGAGGAAGAAAGACTGTGATGACCATGAGGCCTCATGTTCCAAAAGTCAGAAATAAACACTCAGTGAGACTGTGGTTTTCCTCTCCACTGTCTGTGTACCCACTTGAACCTATGGCATAGACCTTTATATAGGGTAAGTGCTTTGATGCTAATGTCTTTCTATATAATACAAGCCTACATGGTATCATCAATACGTTATTATGTTTATTTATTTCAACAAACCCACATTTCTTCCTTTTTTTTCCCCCTAGAGTGACCGACTGCTCATTAAAGGTGGAAGAATTATCAATGATGACCACTCCTTCTATGCAGACCTATACCTTGAAGATGGACTTATAAAGTTGGTTTTTTTAAACTCCTTTTGCATGCCTGTTAATATAGACCACTGTGATGGTGCTGACCTGCAGCCAGCATCTTGGTTACCTCTAGGTGTGGGGCCGTAGTAGAAGAGTGTTTAATTATGAAATTCTGTCATTTTGTCTTTACTAAGATTAGAGAAGTAGAAAATTTCTTTACTCTAAGTTCAAGGTATTCGCTTTTCAAACAGTTCAATCCTAGTTTCTTCCAAAACAGTCAAGGCGAGTAGGCTCTCTCAAGAAGCAATGCTAAGGGCAATGGGTATATTTGAGTCCATATATGACAGAAGGCTTTTTACAGCTTTCTTCCCCAGACCTAATCAGGGTGAATGCAGCCATGCTCTAAAGGATTGTACGGCACAGAAATACCCCCCGTGTTAGAGAGTGCTAATGGGGACCTACTCCTTCTCAGTTCCCCTCGTTGGTTAATGCTGAAGCATAGCATGTTCTGTTTGTACACTGTTATGCATTGCTCTTATGTCCCTTTTCTTGTTTAGCAAAGGTATATAATCTTAAATCTTCACACAATTAGACAGAAAATCCTACTGATGTTTCAGGATATAAAATACAGGAACTGGGAAAGTATTCCTTAGGTGAAAAAAACATAAAATACATGTTACTGATAGGCTGGGAAACAGTAACAGAGATGTCTGTTCATGTAGCTCTACTGGTCCTACCTTGGCTTAGTGGAGATGGGGGTCTCTAGTTTTGCAAAGTTATGTAGTGTGTACAAGCACTCTGATGTACACAAGGATCAAAGCCTTTTTCTTGACTGCTAAACATTTTCGCTAGACAAGTTTGGTCTAGAGAGGCTACAATTTAATGCACAGAAACATAATTATGGTTATCTGGTAAATAATTCATTACCTACATGTTTTCAGAGTTCCTTTTCTTAAGAATATATCATCAGATTAGAAGTCCGATTCTCTACATATCTGTGGCTACTTACATTATTTATGATTCAGATTATTATAACATAAAAAAATTGTGAATGCTTGTATCCATGGACTATGTGGTTTTCTTTTTAATACTGCACTCTGCTTTTCCAGTTGTAGTGTTACTTGTGTTGCAGAAGTGGCAAATGAGCATATAGTTTTAAGTGGAGAAGGCACAAAATTATGAACATGTGTATTTTTTTAATAGGAACAATCAACCAAGTTGTGCTCTGTCTGATAGGCATTTTAGTTGAGTTTTTCTCTGCTTTTGTTTGCTGAGATACAGTTTTCCTAGTAAGACTCGTAAGCATCGGGACTGACATAGCAACTAAGTGCATGAGATGCTGTAAGTCTGAAACTGCTGTGGATTTTTGGCCTTGATTCCTGAAATGCAATGGTACTCGGTAGGCAGGTGAGCAATGCCAAGCTTTCAGCTGCCCTGCCATTTAGCAGCCCTTGCTAAATGCATAGACTCCCTCTGAAATCCACACATGGATCCATACCTCCAGAAAGTATCGCAGCTGCCTGAGATAGGTAGGATTAATAATGAATAGACAAGATCTTAGTTTTTAAAATGCCTTTATCTTTGCCGAAGGAGGCAAGTTTACTATTCCGCACCCTGAGTCGTGCCTGGTTTTTCTTTATAAACTGTGCAAGAAGTCCTGCTCTGAAAAAGCAGCTAATTTGTGAGGGCAGCCTGGTGTGAAATGGGCTTGGGTCCTAACTGTGTTCAGATGATAAATTCTGCAGTCTACAGAAGTGCTATATTTTCTGGGATTGGTCTTTTTTAATTTCTCCAGCTGGAACTGCCCATTGTGTCTAAATATTTAACATAGTTGTTAAATATTGCTCAAGATCCTTTGGAGCAGGTCCTTGAACCTCAGGCATCCACATTTCAGTTGATGCCTTAACTCTCCAGCTGCAGATCCTGCTGATAATACAGAATTTTTTCCAGAATGGAATGGAGCAGCCACCAAGCTACTCAGCCCAGAATAGGCAATAGTGTTCTGGTTTTGCTGGGATATAAAAGATCTGGGTTAATTTTCTCATTCTGCAGTAGAAACTGATTGGAAAATAGAGGGTTGGGTTTCTCTTGCTGACTAATGAAATGAAGTCCCTTTTTTAAGGGCTTATGTCTCTGCAGGTTGTCCTGCACAGGGGAATGTAGGTATAACCTTGAATGTGTTTGAAGATTAGCTATAGTTTGGAGGATGGTAGATGCTTTTTCCTACCTGTCAGTGCTCAAACTGGCTCCCTAGGTACAAGGGAGCAGTGGTGCATGTGGATTTTTCCTAGCTGAAACTTTAGCCCTGCACACTCAGGTGGCAGCTGAGAGGCAGTTCTCCAGTATCTAAATAGTAATTTAGATATTTAGTAATTTAAATTGCCATTGGTATGTAAATAATATATTTTGCTTACATCTATCCTGTCTCTCATTTCCACATGAGGAAATGCGCCCCAGTCTCCATGCCAAGCGGCAGGTCACGGTCTGGTACCTGCTGTCCTGTGCTCCGGCCCTGCCAAGGGGAAGGGTTGGGTCCCTAACTAACTAACTAACTAACTAACTAACATGTGGGGACTAACGTGTGCAGGATGGGTGGCTGGGGACGGGGTCTGCAGAGCTGGGCAGACGATGAGCCAAGTTAGGGGGAGCCTCGGATGCCTAAAAGAGATCTGGGCTTGATAATGACAGAAATAACTCTGCTGAGTTCTGGGGGAGGTTTTCGGCTTTCTCAGGTTAAGCTTATGAAGAGTTGAAACCTGCTGTTTCCTTTGGGCTTCAATCAGATCATGTATGAGAGAATTTACCAGCTTGTTCAGCTGAAGACGGTAGACAGCATCAGCTTTCTGTGAACCTGAATTTTCTAGTTGCTGGTGCATCAGAAAACCAGCTCAATCATTTGTACAGTGTCTAGAATACAGTTATCTGCACTATTGTATTTTTTCCACCCACAAGTAGCTGAACCCCATTCTTATTAACACACACTTAGCATTAGCAAGTGAGCAATTCAGGGATCCTGTCACGTTATCTCTTACTGTGTTCTAGTCAGTCAGAATAAAAATAACCTTGAATGCCAGTGAAGATCAGCCTTCTCCCAGCCTTAATCTTGATGCTAGGGCAAGAGATGAGACAGGCTCCTGACAGGTAATAGCACAGCATCGTCCACAAAGGCCATTTGATCCCATGTCACTTCAGTATGCATGACTTCGGCCATTGCCAAATAAGCTGTTAACTCAGCTGTACACTGAAAATCATGAGCAGTGAGTCATCAAAAAGGTTCCCTACATACTTAACACTCACTTCATTAAGATACGTGTTTTCTTGTGCAGGGAACTGGTAGGTACTGACTGTGGAAGAAAAACAAATGAATTGCTTTTGTATTTTTGTGTAGGTTTTCTTTAATGTTATTTTCAGAAGGTGTAGTAGTCCTTGGAGTGTAATTCCACCTTAGGCATGTTTAAATGAAAATGGTCATAGTAATTTTTTTTTCCCAGTTCAGTTTTTTAGCCACACAAGCACTGTACAAAGGTTGAGGATTGTTCTGATCAAAATCTGGGGAGTGGATTCAACTAATGAAAATTAATACAAAGCCGTTATTATCTGTGGGGCTACCTAACTTTATACAAGCTTTCAACGTGCTCATGAGTTGGAGTGTCTTATGGTATGCCTTTGTGAGTCAGATTTTAACAGCAGAGAAGCTTCTTGCAACTTGTTTGTGCAATTGGATGTGCTGGGCTGCTGCTGGCTTTTGCATACATATCAATTCCCCGTCTGTCCTGGTATCATTAGTGCTCCTCACAGCTGTAACAGGTTACGACATGCTCCCAGTACTATACGTGTTGATGAATATTAGACGCCAGACATGGAGTTGTACAGCTTCAAGCCGTGATATTATCAGCTCTCACAAGTAAGCCCTTTTGGATTTGTTCAGCGCGGAGCAGCTGAGACCCAGCTCAGGATGCTGGCGGGGAGTTTGCTAACCAAATGGCTGTGCTTCCCTCCAGCCAAAACCCAGAGCACCGGGGGAGCCAAGTTGCTGGAGGTGACATTTCTGCATAGCATACGAAACAAATTCTTGACCTCTTGGGGCTATTTATTAACTCTGGTGCTTTGGCCAAATTCCAATGTGAATAATTATCCCTGGTTTTTTCACTGGTTTTAATTAACAGTTATATTCATTTTCGGTGCTAGCTTGTTGCGATTGGCTGCTAATCAGTTGCTGTGTTTTGCTCCGTAGGTGGGAGTTGCATTTTAATGTGGGAGAAACAGATTCAGCAGCTCAGATGTCTGGGGTATTTGTTTAGCTGTGGATAAATGTTATTTTATGCCAGACAAAAGGAAATTAAGGCAAGGACTGTGTGTCTGTAATACGAGATAAACTAAGTGAACTTAAACTACCTTATAGTTATCTCTAAGCCCAAATATATTACAGTGTAACAACACAGAGACATGGCTTCCACACAGACCCGTACCTTTTCCTGTTTGGCACCATGCAAAGTAGACAATAAAAATGTAATGTGGCTTTAAAAGTTATAAGTTAAAGGTTAATTTACTCATAGTTGTGTCCATGAACACTAAAAGTATTTTGATTGTAAATACATGGAGTTTGCTTGATATCAGTATGGGGGACAGATGAATATTTTTAACAGTGAAAAAAAATATCCTGTTTTGAAGAACCAAAGGGAAAAAGATTGCAACAGTTAATCAACATTTTTCCACATGGCTATGCAGAATGTTTCACTAAGTTTTAACTTTAAGAGGAGGATGAAGGATATGTGACATGGTAGATTAAAGGTGTTTGGGTCTCTTTAAATATGTATTTCTGTATCTTAGGATATTTAGGTTTCTTTTTAAGGATAAATTTGCACTGCTTGGATACAAAGTAATTATAACTGTTCTGATGTGCCTTGTGCTTCTGCCATATATTTACAGTTCCAGCTTGCTGTCGTATTTGATCTATGTTTTTATGTTTTCATTTAAGAACTTAATATACAAAAGCGGAGCCCCCAAGAAAGCATTAAGTGTGCGTATTTATAATTGTTTAAAGATAGGAATCATACAAAAAAATCATTTTTTAATGCTGGTGTGTTACGGATTCTTTGTCGGCCACTAGAGCAATGTGAAGCAACCTGAGCACGCAGCCCAGCCAGGCAGGCTCGCGGATGCTTTGTTCTGCCAGTGCTGTGCAGAGCGGCCAGAGCGGGTGCTTGAGCTTCACCTTTCCTTTGGGGTCACGGTTCTTTCTGTATGGCCCCTAGGTTCCTCTCCCCGACATGCCTCAAGTAGCTTCTGTCCCCTGTGCTTCTTTGTTTAAGTAAAATAATATTGGCTTTCCTTACTGCCTAGGCAAATAGGAGAAAATCTGATTGTTCCTGGAGGAGTCAAGACCATAGAGGCTAATGGGCGCATGGTTATTCCTGGGGGAATAGATGTCAACACCTACCTACAAAAGCCTTACCAAGGAATGACTGCTGTTGATGACTTCTATCAAGGCACAAAAGCAGCGCTAGCAGGGGGCACCACGATGATCAGTGAGTACTAGCAATACTAACTCTTCCCAGCCCGAGCTGAAGCTTGTGTAGCATATGTGGGGATAGCTACAGGAGGCTCCATACTGATTTTCTGAGACCTTCTGCAATGAATCTTCAAATTTCTGGGCACTGTGTTGGAGATCCATTCATCATTGTCACCCAGGGTTGACCTGAATATGAACCTACCTTCAGAAAGAAACAGTGGCACGGGGAATTGTCGCTTGGATTTCCCTCTGAAATACAGAACCAGCACTGAGGGATAATAGACCTACTCTTGGGATTTTTGAAAAACAATGTAATTAGTGCTGTAAGTATATGGCATAGAAAATCTGACAAAGATCCTCTGTTCCCACCTAGTGACATTTCAGGGGCTTTGGAAATAACAAGATGCTTATTTATGAACTTGGATTTGGCACCAGGAATTGAGGAAGTCCTTACCAGAGATGTCCTGGAGAAACATCTTTCTTGGTGCACAGGAGAAGTGTTTCTAGTTGTTTAAGACCCTTCTTCTGTCTACCAGATGGCAGGACAAGATTTATCTCTTTCCTACTAGCAATGGCTTGGCCCTTGGTTAGACTCCGTGAGGCAGTTGTTCAGGTGACAAAAATGGTCTTATCTTCCTTGTGCAGAGGAGCTGCCCAGTGGGGTTTTACTCCCACTGAATTGGAATGTGGCTTTTTTTGCTGAGTGTTACCTATGTATGCAGTATTACCTATGTACGCTATGTTACCTATGTATGCTATGTATACCTATGTATGCCGAGTGTTTACCTATGTTTTTACCTATGTTCAGCAGCAAGTATTAGCTGAAAGGATCTCTGGCAATAAGCACAAAACACACTGATGTTCGTTACTTTTGTTAATAATTTTTTTAGTGTATGTTCTTCAGTTGAGGCTTCCAGTGGAGCATTACGTTTGCAAATGCCACCAATAAGCCCATCTTGCTTTGTTTCCATACTTATTTTTGTCCTAGCCCTGCAAAGATAAGTATATATGCGTAAGGAGTCATGTCTTGATTTTACGTCAGTAAACTTGTGGCATCATCAGATGCAGAAAGCCTTGAGGCAGTGAAGATGCATAGTTGCAGCGCACTCAATCTGCCGTATAGTGTGGCTGAGTGTTTGTACTGTACATCATCTCTGTTCAGACCTTTGGCTATATTCCCAATTCTGGCTGCTGAGAAAGCATTTGACATCTCCATTGATATATTGGTAAGGCAGTGTGGGCCAATTCAGTCACTAGGAGGCACTGGTTAATAATAATGTTTACTGTGAAATACATAGAAATGGACAAATCAGACAATAAATACCGATAAGTCCAGAACTTGTGGTCTCTTACAAAACAGCAAAAGGAAAAAACAAATGTTTCCTAAACTGTGAGATGTTTGGCTCTCCCACTGTGTGTCTATGGATGCTGCACCAAGCAGGTTGCCAGACTCAGCTTTAGCATAGACTGTCCATGAAGTCTGCTATACCTGAGAGAGCAGGACCTGGCTAGCATCCCAAAGTCACGGTCTGCGCACACACTGCCTCCAAGGCTGCTGTTTTGGCCAAGATGCTGGAAGGCTACTTACAGGCACTGAGGAAATCTGAACAGTGTGCAGTCTGGGTAACAGACACTGAATCTCTTTTTCAGTTGACCACGTGCTTCCAGAACCTGGATCAAGTTTACTGACCTCCTTTGAGAAGTGGCATGAGGCAGCTGACACCAAATCCTGTTGTGATTACTCTCTCCATGTGGACATCACCAGCTGGTATGATGGGATTCGAGAAGAGCTGGAAATACTGGTGCAAGATAAAGGTTAGTGAGTGAAGATCAGTAGTATTTTTTGTTTCTGTTGAAATATCGTATGGAGGTGAAATTCTGAAGTATTTTAATGAATGCATCATCCAGAACAGAAGTGCACAGGCGCTTGTTATGCTGCCGAAGGTTCTGCACTACCTTGGAACTTTTGTATTCACTTGCTGCTGTGTAAAATGGACCTAAAACTTTGTGTATTAGTGCTAGTCAGCAGCAAGGCCGATGGAGGGAGTAGGTTTACCCCAGTATAGGCACGGAATATTAAGATGTGTATGTTGTCAGATACAAATGTATCACTTTATGCTTGCTTGTACATGTGGATATAGGCTCATACATTGCATACTTAGGTTTTATTTTAAGATAAAACTCAGAGATCAGCATTTAGGGTAATCAGCCCAGTCACCTGAGTCCTCTATTTCATGAATGGAGAGAATGAGACATTTAAAGGTAGTGGTTCAGATTTTAACTAGAATGGAATCTGCCCTTTTAGCTGCCTCAGATTAAGCCCAGATATGAAGGGCACATGTGTCTGAGAAACTGTCATCGCAAGCTAGATCTCATTTCTCTGCAATGGCTTAGGATAATTTACTAGCTGAGACTAGATTTTTTTATAAAACATGCCTATATTTTTAAAATAGGTTCAAGTTATTAGAAAAAAAGAGAAGCTAAAGTTAGGTACCTAATATTGAAAAAATGTCCTGATTTTCTCAAGTGCTTGGCCTCCAGTGGCTTTCCCTCAAGTTACTAGTAGAAGATGCTTTGTTTCAGGACTTAGAAAAACCAGGTCACTTATTTAGGAATCTATTTAAGACATGTATGGGCTTGATTCAGTTCAATTAACAGGTCTACTATCATGTGAGATGCTGTAGGTTACCCTATCAGGACTCCAGCTACCACTCCAGAGCAGCACAGATAAAACCTCTCATAAGTCCTTTTCCATATATTTTCTGAAATGGTATTTAGTTACCATGGGTAAATCAGAACTATCCTTGTGTTGGGAAGTCTAAGTAATATGTGTGTGCAGCATCCTTTGTAAGGTGTAGTGCTAGTGATTACTTAGATTTGAAAAATTCCCTTTATATAGGGATGTACTATCAAAGTAGAAAAACAAAGCAAAATCCTATTTTTGAGTGAGCAGTTGTTTGCTGAGATACTGTGGAGGTGCAGTCATGTAGGGGAATTTATCCTGTATGGCAGCATGCTAGCAGTACATGTGCTGTATAACCAGATTTTAGGCAACAAAACCGTTCAATCAGCTAGATTACACATAATTTAGAGAAACTGCAGCTGGTCTTACATAGTTCTTTATAATATAGGTGATTTTTACAAGGTGATGACATCTGTCAACACTGATGGTGCCAAATCTGTGCTGTTTCCCTGCTATCAGCGTTAACATGGATACGCTGCTGTGCATTAGCTGACTGTACTCTCAGACAAGTATACTGTGCCTTGTTTCAAAGGTTAGATACTATTTTCCAGAGCTCCTGGATCACAGATGGCTCAGCACTCCCAAATGTGCCTCAGGGCTTACATTAAAAGCCTGGTGCAGACAGTTAGGTTAATAGTTTTCTCCAACTATTGAAATGTCGGTTTTCAATATAAATCTGACCTGCCTTTCACTCTTCAGGGGAAGCAGGAATCTGTTCATTGGCTCCTGAACCGGGATGTGTGATGGGGCCCTTGGTGGCCTCTTTGGTGGCAATAGCATTAGGAGGTCACCTTTGTTCTCACGGATGCTGCAGTATGTCGCAGGCAGTCAATGTGAATTACTCTCGTGTTAGGAGATGCAAGGTAAGGGCAAGTATGAAAGCACAAGCACAATAGGAAATATTTCAGTGTGGCAGGGGCTTTCAAATTAATGGATAATATTTGCTGATAATTGGAAACATTGGAGCCAGCTGGTGCAAATAGACTTGATGTCAATGGAGTGACACTGGTTTTCATCAGCTGGGAATCTGGATTGAATTTGTTCTCGGCTGATTGTCTGGTGGGCGAGTTAGCCAAGTAACAGGGCTCAGTTAATCACGTTTCAGTGCTGCATGTGCCTAGTACAGTCTCGGCATGAATAACAGGGGGGCTCACAGAGCTGCTGTTGAGGTGCCCTGTCGTGAGGTATAATTGAATAATTAATCAGTTTTAAATCAATACAAAGCTAATTTAAGGAGACACAGGCTTTGGAAGGGCTTGGAGATTGTGTAGAACCAAATGTTGATGATAAAGACTCAGGCTTGTAACATTTCGGCAGCTAATTTGGGGCTGGGCTTCTCCAGTATATGCAAAGGAATAACAGCCTGAAATGTGTTGACAGACGCCTCACTCGTTCCTTTAAGTACTGCACTTTGTCACTGTTCAAAAAAAACTGTAGCACTATCTGAAATTTGGAGAGGATTCTGTTGAGTACTTCTGGTGTGAGAGCAAGCAGGACATTAGCAAGAACGTAGTATGTAACAAACGTTAAGCATGAAGGCCAATAGGCCATGGACCAGGTCTTTTGAAAAGCCATGTATTTCCAATGAGTAGATCAAGACACCAGACCAAGGCATTAGGGAAAGAGTCGAATCTTGGATACCTGTATATGTGAATTGGTGTTATTTTATCTTGGTATCTTGTAAAGGTACTGTCTTTGCAAGGCAGGATGGTTCAAACCATCCCTCCTGTTAGTGGTAAAGGCAGCCCGTGAGATGCCCTTCCGCTTTGTGTGTATCTGATGTGGTAGCCGAGGATGTGGATGTGCATTTAGATGGGAGAACTCTGCTTCTGCACTGTGGGAGCTGTCGGTAAGGGACAGGCTCAAGATCCCATGGCGGAATCCCTTCTACTCATTGACTTCAGGGAGAACATTAATGTGAGTGGGAGCAAAACTCATAGTCATTTTACCAAGGTCAGAAAAGGGCCTGGGAAGATACAAAGGCAATAAAAGGAAAAGGAAGAGAATATATATTACTTGGGTCAATGTGGGTCTTCCAACCACAGTACTCAGAGAAAGCTGCCTTATCTCCTGTGATTAAATGAATTACCTTTGGCTAGATCCCAGTGGATAAAGGAGAGCAATATGTAACCCAGCTCTTTGCTTACAGAGAAATGTGTACGAGAGGATTCAGTCCTGTGCCATCACTGAGGCTAGTCGGCATGGCTTGGACCAGCCTTGACACGTCTCTCGTTGCTTCATGTGTGCATGGTCACCCGTGCAGAAAGGTGTCTCCTAGGTGCAGCTGACATCTGAGACACTGTGTGGGTTTGTGAAGAGAAACAGATTTCCTCCGAGGCAGGTCAGGCAGATGTGAGCAGTCAGAGGGGAGATGGTGCTGAGGTGTGAGGCTGTAAGCACTGACCCCAGGGAAGGCATAGTCAAGCTTAAAGGTTTTATAGCGGGGACATACTAAGTACATTGAAACTGTGTAATGAGGAATAAGCTGAGGGATTACAGTTAGTAAAGGCCACGCGTGTTTTCTGGGAACTTGAGAAATACAAAAATAGGAAGAAAGGACAGGCTTACAGGCTGACGGGGCTCCATGGTCCAGGCTGGATTTGCTCAGCGTGGAAGTCAGCAAGGAGGGGCCAGCTCATGCTTTGTATTTCTCCCTGAGCTGCCTGGCTTTAGCGGGAAGACACAATACCAGGGATCATTTCAAGGTTTTATCCTGCATGTATCCTAGGGTATTTTAATCTTGTAATTGTGAATAAACAAATTCTCTGTGTGAGTGTGAACAGCCATACCCTCTGCCTGAGGATATGGCTGCGCCTTCTAGACTCATGAAGGAGTTGTATCTTCATCAGAGAGCCTTATTCATTTGGTGTAGCCAACATGAATGACACGAACAGATCTCTTTCTTCTCCTCTTGCCCCAGGAAGCACAGTTTTCATGACAGCTGTTTTGAAATGCAGCGTACATGGCTTAGACAGCTTAGAATTTACTTTTCTTTTAAGCTAGAAAACTCTGAGATCAGTCCCTGTACCAAACTGGGGATGTTGTCAATAGACTAAAGAGTAAGGCAAATTTATAAACTAATATGAATTCATATGTGCAGAAAATATGAACAGAAGATGTTTGGAATTCCTGTTCAGTTAGAATATGAAGCTGTGTAAATAATTGAATCTTTGGAATAAGTGGCAAAACTTGTAGGGGTTTAAATACAGTTGGTTCTTGGCAACCAACACTCAACACTAGCATATCTTACTGATTTCTAAAATTGAAGCTGTCATCTTTCATAGTTTTGTATGACTGTGTTGTGGTTTAACCCCAGCCAG